TGGAAAACAAGGTTTGGCAAACTTTAAATATCACATTTAATGTTTTCACTATTATTTTCTAGATGTTACTTATAGGTAGACCTCACACTTTCCAAAATGACGACTGTCAACTGAATACTTAATCCTTTACTTTGATTTACTGTGCTTGAATGCAAAGTTTAATAGATACATCTATGTAATGTATATACCGCAAGTTTTATTCAAATTACAATGCATCTGATTAAAACATCAAATATACAAACATGGTTTAAGACAGCATATTATGTGAATCAAAATAGTTCAGTAGTTGCTGAGTTGTGGTTAATCTCTCACACAAAGTTTGTTAGTTATTACTCTACAATTTTCCAAAATGAGCATAATTTGATTCAAGCACTTCATTCCAACCCAAAATAAAACACATAGGAAACTAATACACAAAGAGTTCGGGAGGGAGAGTGACAACTTGTACCACTGATAGCTGTGTTAATTCCTGAGAAAATCCCCATTCAGTTTCCACCTTCACCATGTCTTTCCTATTATCTCTTTTTTTCAGAATAGATCTTGTCGAATGGGTAAGGGATAATCTGATAAATAACAGAGTGCCACTGTGCAGTTATTTTTCATAATGAGTTGGAATGGATTAAAACTAGCCACGTGACAGAAATTACACCAAGTCTGTTAGAGGGCTATGTACTCATAGAACTAGAGTTACATCCAGGTCATTTTCATATCACATATTTCAATATCACAGTAGACGAGAGTGCTCAATCCACTGAAACTTAAGAAAGCACAAGTATATGAGAAAACACCTATAACATTTTGACAACATATATGTCAAATAGAAAAAGACATTCTTGCAGAAAAACCAGGCTCTTTTCTCTGTGCAGGAGTATGGAGTATATATATACTTATAGTTTGGTCTAAAGTGATCCTGATTTTGTATATTGTATAGTAACATTAAGACACAGTCCCAATATCATTTCCATCATTATTCACAGCAGCAGCCATAAGACATCAGCTGTGTTCAAAAAGGTGCAACTGAGGACACAGTTCAACTAATTTAAACTGTTGCAACACACCACATACACAATAATGGAGGAGTAAAATATTTTTTCCCAATAATGTGAATGTGGAGTTTTGCTGTGTGTCTAACTCCTGTTCTGACCTCACTGAATTAAATTAAATGGTTGATGTATTGGTTTATAGTATCACCTAGAAATTCCTGTTCTGGTAGACTTTACTTGCATATGTGAAATTAACCCCCTGCCGCCAATCAGAACTGTATAAACAAATGGAAACAAACTACTAGAGATGGGTTCCAATAGCTAGTTCCTTATCCAATCCAATTTGCTTAAAAGCTATTGAACCCCTCCCATACATAGTATAGCCTGCAAAAAACAAAACACTGGTCTACTGGCTTAAAAGCTATTGAACCCCTCCCATACATAGTATAGCCTGCAAAAAACAAAACACTGGTCTAATTCGCAGCAGCCTGAAAATAAGTCAAAAGAAATTAGTTTATGTAAAACTTTAAAAATCAACATTAAAATGAATGCTTGACACTGAGCTTTGAACACAGCCACTGTGGTGTAAGTAGTGACTCTCCCTTCCCAGGAGGTCCTAGCCTATCAAAGAGTGAACATTGATTAACAGTCAGGGAACCCTTGGCTATTGCAAGGACTTTGTAATGCAAACATCTGATGACTCCAAATTTCAGGTGAATGCTTTGCACTTGGATAGGTACAACGAAAGATGGTGGTGGTGGTGGTGGGGGGGGGGGGGGGTTCATTTCAGTATAAAAACTTGAAAATGTTTTCAATACATCCCCACATGAAATTAGAAAGGTGTGGGATAAACAAAGTCAAGTTATTGAGCTCAAGAGGTAGAGACCAACACGGTGAATCATTTATATACATATTCACACAATGCTGCTGTGATGAAATACTTAAACAAAAAAAAGGTTTCTCCTTAGATATACAGTGTCTCAAAAAAGTGAGAACACCCACCCACACACCACCATATTTTTGTAAATATTTCATTTTATCTTTTCATGTCACAACACTGAAGAAATGACACTTTGCTACAATGTAAAGTAGTGAGTGTACAGCTTGTATAACAGTGTAAATTTGCTGTCCCCTCAAAATAACACATCACACAGCCATTAATGTCTAAACCGCTGGCAACAGAAGTGAGTACACCCATAAGTCCAAATTGGACCCAAAGTGTCAATATTTTGTGTGGCCACCATTATTTTCCAGCACTGCCTTAACCCTCTTGAGCATGGAGTTCACCAGAGCTTCACAGGTTGCCACTGGAGTCCTCTTCTACTCCTCCATGATGAAATTCCTGGTGCTGGTGGATGTTAGAGACCTTGCGCTCCACCACCTTCCATTTGAGGATGTCCCACAGATGCTCAATAGGGTTCAGGACTGGAGACATGCTTGGCCAGTCCATCACCTTTACCCTCAGCTTCTTTAGCAAGGCAGTGGTCATCTTGGAGGTGTGTTTGGGGTCGTTATCATGTTGGAATACTGCCCAGTGGCCCAGTCTCTAAAGGGAGGGGATCATGCTCTGCTTCAGTATGTCACAGTACATGTTGGCATTCATGGTTCCCTCAATGAACTGTAGCTCCCCAGTGCCGGCAGCACTCATGCAGCCCCAGACCAGGACACTCCCACCACCATGCTGGACTGTAGGCAAGACACACCTGGTCGCTGCCACACACACTTGACCCCATCTGAACCAAATGAGTTTATTTTGGTCTCATCAGACCACAGGACATGGTTCCAGTAATCCTTATCCTTAGCCTGACTGTCTACAGCAAACTGTTTTGCGGAGTTTCTTGTGCATCATCTTTAGAAGAGGCTTCCTTCTGGGACGACAGCCATGCAGACCAATTTGATGCAGTGTGCGGCGTATGGTCTGAACACTGACAGGCTGATCCCCCACCCCTTCAACCCCTGCAGCAATGCTGGTAGTACTCATACGTCTATTTCCCAAAGACAACCTCTGGATATGACGCTGAGCATGTGCACACAATTTCTTTGGTCGACCATGGCGGGGCCTAGTGATGGCAGTGCGACACTGAAGCTTTTATACGTGCTTCAAACCCTGAACATTGAACCATTGCTTCAAAGCCTGCTTTGTTGTGAAAAAAAAATCACGTGACATATGACATCCGAAGCAGCAACTGCTTCATTGACTGAATGAATCACTGACTGGTTCACGGTCCAATCAGGTGATTCACTGGCAATGCCTAATCTTGAAATCTGAGTGTTTGTGTTCCCCATCCCACACAATCACCCCCTACCATAGTTACACAAGCACACACAACCTAAGCCATATTTCCCCAGCACTCTCTCCACAATAACACGATACATGCCTTCATCAATCTTTATTTGTAAATAGAACAGTATGTTCAGTCTTAATGTGTGCGCATCAAAGAATTTTCAAAAATACTCTAAATCCAAGGGTGATCAAAGCAAAGATGCTTCAGAACTAAAGGTCTTTTCCACAAAAGTAAAGTTGTTTCTTCAACACTGCTTATTGACATGTGTGTATGAGTGCGTGCGTGCATGTGTGCGTGTGTGTAATTAAAAGCCTTCTGTCCACCACCTAACCTGCCTAATTTGACTGCAACCTTGCACTTCAAAAGGAGAGGCCACCATAACTGAAGCTTCGAGCAATGATCCCATTTTCAAAACAAATGGCTCAAGTGGTTCAGTGCTTCACAAAAGCTTAATTTACCCATCACTAGCGAGGCCTGTTCTAAGTGGAACCTGTCTTGTTGTGAACTGCTGTATGGTCTTGGCAACTGTGCTGCAGCTCAGTTTCAGGGTTGACAATCTTCTTATAGCCCAGGCCATCTTTATGTAGAGCAACAGTTCTTTCTTTCAGATCCTCAGAGAGTTCTTTCCCATGAGGTGCCATGTAGAACTTCCAGTGAACAGTATGAGGGAGTGTGAGAGCGATAACACCACATTTAATACACCTGCTCCCCATTCACACCTGAGACCTTGTAACACTAACGAGTCATGACACCCAGGAGGGAAAATGGCTAACTGGGTGTTTTGAGGGGACAGCAATTTTACACTGTTATACAAGCTGTACACTCACTACTTCACATTGTAGCAAAGTGCCATTTCTTCAGTCTTGTCAGATTAAAAGATATAAACAAATATTTACAAAAATGTGACGGTTGTACTCACTTTTGGGAGATAGTGTATCTACAACTCTGCTGTACTGTACACACAAGATACAGTTAACGTGACTTGTGTATTCTGTCAATTGTTGATGATTTGTTGTCCTCTACAGATCAAAGTTGCAGGGTAAAAATCAAGGAAATATATACATTTGTATGCAAGTTTTAAAAATAAAATGAACTTCACAGCCTTAGAAATGTGCAGGCTAATAAAATTTCTATACAGTTTTATTGTTGGTGTGGTTGGTGTGTGGATTTGTTTCTCTATTTAACAAATATACATTATCATACTTTGAGGTGCGAGAACAATGCATACCATAGGACACAAGAAGAGAAATAGAAAACAATTCTAAAAATATATTAAATAATTTACTTCAAAGCTCTTTTTCTGGGGACAGTGTACATGTAGGAGGGGCAGGGGCACACTTCAGCAGTGGATTATCATTTAGAAAAACCCATATAGATGAGACCATGTCATTGATATTTCTATATCATTCATATGCTACTTGTTTCCGTTCTAAGGTGAGCTGCTTGAATGCGATCTTTGACAAAAAAGTAGTATGTGGTATGCGGTGATATATTCAAGTAGACAGAACAAAGACAACACGCTTAAAGAATGATATTGCTGGTTTAACGGTCTCTTTACATTGGTACATTTACTTTTCATGTTAGTATTTTGTTCATAACATGATGACAGTTCCCTATTTGTCCAAAGAAGAACAAACAGAACAGACCTCCTGTTTTTGCAAAGGCATCTTGCTACCACAGCCACATTTTTTTCTGTGGTTCCAAAATACTTTTTTCTGTGGTTCCAAAATACTTTTAAGGACTTCTAAACAATCTGGGTCTGATTCTCATAGTGTTGGCCATCATTTTTATTACTTATGGGAAAAACTTTAGCCTCTCTTTAGCTTTCCAACCAATAGAACAAGTACTCAGTCACATCATAAGAAATATACCTGTAATAAAATCACAGAGAACCCCTGTCTCCTCAGTTTGTCAAAACATGCCAGTTTGGTCCAAAGTTGGGTTGTGTGGATTTAAGCAGACCTTGATCACACATGTGACCGTTGACATGTCCCAGCTACTTTTAAGCATGTTTTGCTACAGTATGTTAAAAATGACAAAACCTTTGGAAATTGAGATTTCTTTAAAATATGCAAAAAATCAACAACCATGTCCGTCATTGTTTGGAGGGGCCCCAGGGATAGACCGGTCTCAAGCCAATATGGTAGCTTCCAGTTATTTCCTCCAAAATCTGGTTAGAGGGTTAGGGTTAGTAAGCACAGCAGTGTGGGTAATTGCATGGTTTCCAACAGATGTTTTGGGAAACTTGGTGGTAACATCCAAATAAGTGGTTTAGATAACACAGCTGAAGTGTGGATGTTGCCCCATGAATACTGTAAAGTTGTGTCACAAGAAATGTAGAAGAAGAAAAAGAGTGTTAGGTCCCCTGCCCTAAACCTGATTTAAAGCAGAGACATGGCTGTTGTGTGGTAAAAATGCATCTTATGAACCAACATCATGTTCTCATAAACAGGAAGGATGGCCCACACTACAAAAAATAAGCCCCAGATAGTATAATGTGTTTCCACATTTTTTCCATTAATATTTCTGTTAATACTGTTTGGGATGAAATGTGCTCAGTTTGACTGTGTGAATAGTTACTTACTTTTACTTACATTGTCCAAGTAATGAAATTAGTACACATTCCTTTATAACAAAACAACTCTTCAGTCAGGCTGACGGTTTAACCATACACCAGCACTGAACTGAATATGGCTAGCCAAAGGAGGGTGCAGATTAGCATTGTAGAATCTGTTCTGCTCATTTTCCCTTCATCATGGACTGTAGGCTTTCTTAAGATCAGCTGTGTCATCTTGTTTGGAAGAAGGGCTTTTAGTACGATCCTTTTTCCGATTTATTTCCTATTCAGAGAAACATTAAATTGTTTGTCATGCAACATGTAAGTGTGTATTTAAACCTTCATCTTCAAAATCGAATGATCTCAACAACAAAATACTATACATCTAAAAACCCCAGCAGATTGAAATTCAGCACAGGAACATGCTAGTCTAATGAGCACTGTGAGCACTCTGTATTCTAAACAGAAACAAAGCTGCTGTCGGCCTCTCAAGGGGACACCGGACTCTTTCCACAATGACTGAACAGGATAGGTTTACATTCTGGGACAGGTTCAACTTAATTTTTAAAGCCTCATGTATAAACATTTGCATACATTCATTCATGCACAAAATAGCAGACATATTACTGGGGTAGCTGTGTCTCACAAGGTAGAGAGGGTCATTCGCTAATCAGATCCTCAGCTCCTCCAGGCCTTGATGAATGATAAGTTTCTTTCTGATGTGCGTTTGGCACCTCAAATTGTGGATTTCTGTATACTCTCATCTTCTTTGACCACCGTGAATGGTTAAAATGTCCATGGCAGCAATTCACTTCATTATGTTTTGACCTGAAAATAGATAAAAGTACCCTGTTGTGGGTATATAACTAAATGACTTTGCAGACTGTGAACTGATTAGATGTGCATTCTACCTGGAAGGATGACACTGTGAATAGATGACAAGCTATGAAATGATGAAAAGAAGCAACAGTAAAGTGGGTATGTGTCTTTTGCATGTCGCTGTGCTGTACATACAATACAACAAATCAAAAGTAATCATGCAAATTATGCATGAAATGAATATACTGTTTGACATTCAATCACTGCACTACAAAATGTACAACATTTTATAAATCCCAAACCTGGCAAGTTTGCTCACAATCTTAATGTGTATGCATTATTTATACATGAGGCTGCTAATCTTTGGCAAATGAATTGTTACATAAGTAAAAACGATGGCCAGAGGTGCGGGGGCCATAGTGGGACATAAGGGGACATTCCTGGAATAACTTATTTTTAGTAAGTACTTTCTAATAAAGTATGGGAATTGTGAAAAATGTTGTGCACAATTACAATCGATTGTATGAATAAAATTTCATTTACTGGTGCAGAGGTGAAGGTGGGTGTGATAATGCAGAGTAGCCTGATTGTGATTACAGAATCCTTTAAAAATTTGTATTAATAGCAAAACAAATGTAATTCATTATGATGCAATAACTGTTCAATCTTTAACAATGGGTTGGTTTAAAACATTCTGATTTGATCCACAGAGCATCTGTCTTACCATTTGCATATCAAACCCGTCTAATACACCTCTATAAAGCAGTTATCAGTTTGTTTCATATTAAGCACACACACAGAAGACCTGTGAATCCTGCTCTCCAGTGAAATGCTACGCAGATGTAAGAAGACGTTGAGACACGTTCTTGTTCCCAGTTCAGCAGCTTGTCAGTTGGGAAAGATGATGACACACAACAGCAGCTATTCCCACACCAGCGGAGATGGAGGCATTTCAGAGGGCTGAGCCACTGTGGAGCTGTTCAAAAGGAGGCCAACAAGTGGGTGAAGATAATATTAGCTATTCATGTGTCTGTCAGCTAAAGACATGTGAGACATGGTTAAAGGTGCACTGGATAGTTATGTTGTGTTCCAGCAATGTTAAAAATATTTTTTGAAGATGTGAGTACAGTTGCATCACAGAAAATGAGAAAATCATGGAAAAGGACATTTCTTCTCATAATGTAAGTCAAAAAGAGAAACTTTCATATATTCTACATTCATTACACATAAAGTGAAATATTTCTGGCCTTTTTTGTCATCAAATCAAATATCCACAAGTTGAACAGTTCTGAAAAAGGTGAATTTATGCACTCAGTACTTGGTCGGGGCTCCTGTTGCAGGAATTACTTCATCAATGCACCATGGCATGGAGGCAATCAGCCTGTGGCACTGCAGGAAGCTCAGGTTGCTTTGATAGCGGCCTTCAGTTCGTCTGTAAGTGTGGTGTCTCTCATTTTCCTCTTGACAATACCCCATAGATTCTCTATGGGGTCTAGGTCAGACAGTCAAGCACAGTAACACCATGTTCAGCAAACCAGGTATTAATGGTTTTGGCACTGTGGGCAGGTGCCAAGTCCTGCTGGAAAAGGAAATCAGCATCTCCATAAAGCTTCCATCTCCCTCTGGAAGCATGAAGTGCTCTAAAATCTCCTGGAAGACACTGCATTGACTCTGGACTTGATAAAACACAGTGGACCATCACCAGAGGATGACATGCCACCCCAAACTATTTGTAGTGGGACAACAGTGTGGATTTGTGCAATTTATATTAAATAAATTTGGAGCTACTCCAAATTCCCCTTTTCCTCTCCCGGAGAGGAGCAGGGGGGTTAAAGATCAACTTCAACAGACTGCTAAAGAGACCCCAACAGAAGGGGGGTGGAAAAGTTGCTTTCTGTAAGTGCTATTCCTGAGCAGCCTGATCATAAAACTGGCACCTTTTTGATTCCGAAGCTGATAACGCGGTGACTGACTGTTAAACTGACAAAAGGGAAATTAATCAGAGATTACAAACAGCCTATCGGAAAGGCAGGAAATCCTAAACTGCCCCCCCCCACACACACACACACACACACATGTAACCGTGGCTCTCTCTCGGCTTCTCTCCTCTCCTCGTGCCCTAGTCTTCTACTCTGCTCTCTGAACGCTTCGTCACACGTCCGGCGTGCCTCTCCAACGCCCTAAGAGTTCGACCAGCGCAACAGGCCTTTGCTCACTTGAAGCTACACACACGAAGTGCCGCGACATCGATTTGCCCTCAGTTCCAGCAACTCTACTTGTTTTATTTTCTTCCTTTCTTTTGTTTTGTTAAAGTTATCAGTACGTACAGTAAGTTACACTGGTCTAATTCAGGAACAACCAAGTTCCCTTTTTAAGCTTTTTCGTCGAGCTAAGCCCACGGAGGTCGGACGATGGCACGTGGCCCACCAGCAACCACAAAGGACGACATAAACCTGACCCGAGACAGGGTCGGGAAGGCCCCACTGCAAGTTTCTTCCATAAGCCTTCCAGAGACGGACCCCGGAAGAAATTCCCTGGGAAGCATGGACTCTGCCAGTGTGAGGCCGTTTCCCAGCAACCCGGCGGAAGAAACACAAGCAGCAAGACCAAACAAACATTCTGTGGTCAGGGATGTCCCATAATGCTAATATTGTCTTTTAACTCCTAAAACTCATAGCTTACTTTCATTAGTTCTCCTCTGCCGTATGAGTCAAATGCTTCCCACAATCGAACCTCCATTTCTCATTGTTCAGCCATTGTTTATTTTCCCTGTATTTAACAACCCTTTTATATTGCATTAGTTAGTTAATAAATTCACTGTAATCAAGAACTGTGTTTGTTGACTATCTCCACGTCCCTGCCAAGAGAACTGACCCTTTAGATATGAGACTGACTGATTGATTTAAGATAATTTTATATTCATAATTGGGTATTAATTCTCATAAGTTTATTAAAATTCACAGCTAATTTAGCCATGCTACACATTACTGGCTGTGGAAACTTCACACTGGACTTTGTGATGGCAGAAAATTGTTTCACCTTCAATTTAGTCCCTTATGCATGTAGTTCGATTATTACTATTATTGTTATGTGTTATATAAGTTGTTTTTTATACTTTTTTATTATTATACTCATTATATTAGTCTGTCCACATGTGTAGGGTTTAGGTCAGAGGTGTGAAATTGGGGAGAAGATCTCTGTTTCCCAAAACTTACAAACCTTGACGGTCTAAATAATTATGCATCTCTTTGCTCTGGGTCAGATGTTAGTTACTGTCCTAGGAGAGAGAACCTCTGGTCCAGCAGATTTTCTTTGTAGTACTTCTCTATCATTCTCTTTTATTAATAAAAATAAAAGACAATGGTTGTTGTAACCCTATTTGCTCAATCCCTTACCAAGAATATACATATAATTCCACAATAAACTTCAAGCAACTTGGATTCTGTGCCTCTGTGTCCTCTCCGGGACCTTCAGTACAAATGAAAAGCAAAATTTACTTTCATCTGAAAAGAGGACTTTGGACAATAGAGCAACGGCCCAGTTCTTTTCCTTCCATGATTGTGGTTGTATATACTGAACCAGAGAGAGTAAAGGCTCTTCTCAGATCGGCATTTCTGTATTATCTATTTTTTATTCGAATATTTTGAGATATGGATTTCTGATTTTCGTGAGCTGTAATCATCAGAATTTTACAAATAAAGGCCTGAAATATTTCACTTTTTATGTAATGAATTTAAAGTGTAGTTTCACTTTTTTACTTAATATTCTAATTATCTGAGAAGCTCCTGTATGATTCTGCAAATACTGGAAATTCTGGAAATGTTTGTTACTGTCCATGACTGTATCACATTAGAAGATGGATAGGCTATTGTAAAGCATGGACAAGGTAAAGCAACAGTGAACACAGCTGTTGGTGGCGATGTCATTCATTACCATCGGTAATTAACAACAAGCCTCCTTCACACTTTCAATTATAATATACTGTAGCCTATATATATATATAATATATTAATATAATATCAGAATCAGCTTTATTGCCAGCTATGTGTACACATACGAGGAATTTGACTCTGGATTGTACAATGCTCACGATGTGCTTACTTATACAATAATACAATAACACAATAATACAGTAATAAAATCAAACACAGGCTACAGTGTTGAAGAAATGTTGTGAGCCAGGTTCAGGTGTGAAGAAGTTTCGGAGACTGATGAAGACTTAACAATGCATGGTTTATTGTTCCTGGCTGTGGAGATACAGTGCCAGCATACAACATGTGAACACGTCAAATGCCAACACCAAATCTGAAGGAGAACATCTTTTGGCCCCTTTTATGTTCCTGTCTTCCCCCTAGTGCCTGTCGGTTTCCCTATTAAGTCATCTTTAGCTGGCCTTAACCTAGAACAACTAATATATCTGATGTTTAGACTCAATGCTTCGTCATATTGGAATCTATTACTACCCGGGAGTTGTACTTTAATCTGTGGAGGCAGTGAGTTCTTGTAAACTAGGGCTGTCCCTGACTAAGGATTTACATAGTCAAATCAGAATCGTGTGTGTTATTGTGCGCGGCGATTGTGAGGGTTGCCTACACACGGTAGCTCCGCTCCCTTTAATCTTGAGAAGCTGCAGAGCAACTGTAAATTTCCAGGTAAACTAAGGCTTTTTGAAGACCCTTTTCTCTCTCTCTCTCTCTCTCTCTCTCTCTCGCCTGTCATTCACCAGTCTTGTGTGAGTTTTGTGTGCATGGCGTGCTGCTGACAACTACATGCACGTCGCATTTCCTCGCGGGTCTATTTCAAGTAGCCGGCTATTTAAAAACGACATAATATTCTTTATGTGGTTCATCAACGGTGATAAATTATCCGAAAGTCCCGCTAGGTGTGGACAACTCGGCACAACACCAGTGAAGCCGGGGCTCGGTCTCTTCAGCAAGTATTCCTCTTCTGCCTCTACACACATGCTACACCTAAACATGCGCACTGACGACCAAAGGTTAGGGTTACAATTTTAGAGTTATTTACAAGCTTACATGTACACAGTGTGATTAGTGCAAAGGATGCTGGAATAAATAAGGGTTATGTGCAGGTGTTATGTACTTGAGGTAGGTGGATTTGGTATACAGTATATACAATATACAATATGGAGAGTAAGAACAGCTCTGAAATAGAGAATGATGAATAAATAATAAGAGGTAACCAGTAAACAGGTGGCTGATCAGAGACAGAGTTACTGGGTTATTTCACAGGAATTGTTCTTGACATTGTGAGTCAGCTGTTCATCAGAGTGATGGCTTGTGGGAAGAAACTGTTCCTGTTGGTTGCCTACCAGAGGGGAGAAGCTGGAACAGGTTGTGTCCGGGGTGAGATGGATCTGCAGTAATGTTTCCTGCCCTTACTAATACTTATACTCTGGAAATGTACAAGTCCTGAATGGAGGGCAGGTTGGCACTGATGATCTTGTCTGCAGTCCTGAATGTCTGTTGTAGTCTGCTCCTGTCCTTTTTGGGGGCAGATCCAAACCAGACAGTGATGGAGGTGCAGAGGACAGACTGGATGATGGCTGTGTAGAAGTTGATCAGCAGCTCCTTAGGCTCCCAGAAAGCCAGCTGATCAACCTCCCGTCTGTAGGTCGACTCATCATGAGGCCAATGATCGTTGTGTCGTCAGCAAACTTCAGGAGTTTGACAGATGGGTCTCCTGAGGTGCAGTTGTTGGTGTAGAGGGAGAAGAGCAGTGGGGAGAACACACACCCCTGGGGGGCGCCAGTGCTGACAGTCTGGGTGCTGGATGTGATGTTCCCCAGCCTCACCTGCTGATTCCTGTCAGTCAGGAAGTTTGTGATCCACTGACAGGTGGAGGCTGGCACAGTGAGCTGGGTGAGTTTGGTGCTGAGGATTTCTGAGATGATGGTGTTGAACGCTGAGCTGAAGTCCACGAACAGAATCCTTTCATGTGTCCCTGGAGAGTCGAGGTGTTGCAGGATGTGATGCAGTCCCAAGTTGACTGCATCATCCCCTGACCTGTTAGCCCTGTAGGCAAACTGCAGGGGGTCCAGCAAGGGGCCTGTAATGTCCTTCAGGTGGGCCAGCACCAGTCTTTCAAAGGACTTCATGACTACAGATGTCAGGGCGACAGGCTTGTAGTCATTTAATCCAAAGATGGAGGGTTTTTGGGGACCGGGATGATTGTGGAGTGTTTGAAGCAGGAGGAAACTTCACACAGCTCCAGTGATCTGTTGAAGATCTGTGTGAAGATGGGGGCCAGCTGGTCTGCACAGATTGCAAGCCAGCCGACTCTTCCAGATGTTTGGCATGCTAGGTATCTGGCAGGCGTCGGCGATGTGTCAGAAATGTGTCAGGGGGGCCGTTTTGATGCGTTGTGTAGTTCACACACATCTCGCCGAGCTGCAAATCGGGCTAAAAATCGTGTAATGTGAACTATAGTCAGAGTGTTCTTGGCCTGGTTGTAGAAGATTCTGTCCCCACTTCTGAAGGCCTCCTCCTTGGTCCGACGAAGCTGCCAGAGTTTTGCTGTGAACCAGGGTTTTTAGTTGTGCAGAAAGTTTTAGTCGGCACACACATGTCCTCACAAAAACTAATGTAGGATGTCACAGTGTCAGTTAGTTCGTCCAGGTCAGTGGCTGCAGCCTCAAAAACACTCCAGTCAGAACAGTCAAAACAGGCCTGTAAATCCAGCTTTGACTCGTTGGTTCATCTTTTCAGTCTTTACAACAGGTTTAGCAGATTTCAGTTTCTGCCTGTAAGTTGGGATAAGATAAACCAGACAGTGATCAGAGAGTCCCAGGGCTTCACGGGGAACAGAGCGATAGGCGTCCTTTAATGTTGTGTAGCCGTGGTCCAGTGTTAGTGTCCCTGTTGGGAAACTTAATATGCTGTCTGTACTTTGGGAGTTCATCGCTGAGGTTTGCTCTGTTGAAGTCCCCGAGAACAATGAGCAGGGAGTCTTTTTCTCCACGTTAGTTATCTGGTCGGCCAGGTGTAGTAACGCCTCACTAACACAGGCCTGAGGTGGAATGGAAACAGCAACCAGGACAAACAAGGAAAACTCCCGTGGTGAATATAAAGATTTACAGTTTATGAATAATGTCTCTAAGTGAGGGTTGCATGATTTCTTCAACACTGTGACATCTGTGCACCAACCTTCGTTTTTGTAGAGACAGAGTCCGCCTCCCCATGAGCTCTGTTACGCGGTTCGCCCGGAAAAGATTAAATCCTGGTAGGTGAAGTGTGCTGTCTGGTATGTGCTCAGTGAGCCAAGATTCTGCAGAAGTCTGAGTTAGTTCTGTTGAGGAGCAGCAGTTAGTCCATTTTGTTGGCCAGAGAGCGGACATTCGCCAGGTGGATTGAAGGGAGCACAGTTGGATTGTGGGCTATTAGTACAAATCTCCTTATAGTGAAAATGCGAATGCTTTTTAATAATCAATGTTTCATTATGGCTCTACAATTGAATGGACCCCAGTCAGAATAGCCAACATTTATACAGGTGCTGATCCTAATATTTTTTTTGTGGAATTGGTCAAAATCAGAATCGGCAGGTCAGATCTTTAAAAAATCAGTAATTGGAATCAGCCAGGAAGCCTGTGTGAACTGATATTAGGTTAATACCATAGCTTTACTGTTGTGCTGACAAATATTGCTTTGTGTTGTTGGCCACAAATAAGAGAAAAGAAAAACAATAAGTAAGTACAAAAAGTCATGGCAATTTAGGAACATCGCGGTCTACATGCCACACTAATAACAGTAGTAAGACTTCTTTCTGTGTACACATATCCTATACAAGTACAATTTTGTGTCCCATTCAAAAATTGCTCTTGAGAAATTTTTTGTTTATCGTCCCCCCCATCTGTGATGAAATTTACACCCATGTTAAAGAACCTCCTACCTGATAAAGCTTTTGAAAGCTGCTGACTGAGGGTTAATGCAGAGTGGCACTCGACTCCCCTTTTGCTGTTCCAAAATGAACTGATGGATGATCTCTGAGAGGGAACAACACAGAGCAACAGAGACAGATTAGGAAACAACATAACATAACCTAAAGTCACAAAGTATATTCAAGCTGTCTGACTTGAGGTAACTCCAGTATGTGATGTTATTTCTCCTCCCACAGTCAGCCATACACTTAGGCAAGCTGACCTGCAGTTAATGAGCTTATTGAGCTTTAAATCACTATGGAGCTATCTTTTAAGTGGGTCCCAGTTTTTTTTTATATTGTGTAAACACCTAGGGACGCATGATTCCTCTTGATGGTTTGCTGCTATCCAACCAACAGCTGGTAGCAGTTATTCGCAATGAAGCACAGCAATGCACCAACAAAGGCAAAGAAGAAGACTTCAAGCAAGTAAATCGGCTTTGCAAAAGTTTTATGAGGAAGGAAATGTATTCAACACATTTGTTTGACCTCAAGGATTCACACAACCTGTTTTGGTGATGTTATTTTTTTTCCTGCCAGAGTTTTGACAACTCGGGCGGTACAGTGGTCTGGTGGATAGCACTGTGGCCTCACAGCAAGAAGGTTGTGGGTTTAAACCCCGGTTGCCTCAGCCTTTCTGTGTGGAGTTTGCAGGTTCTCTCCGGGTGCTCCGGCTTCCTCCCACCGTCCAAAGACATGCGGACTAGGTTAATTGGTGACCCTAAGCGTGACTGGTTGTTTGTCTATGTGTGGCCCTGCGATGGATTGGCGACCTGTCCAGGGTGTACCTCGTCTTTTGCCCGATGTCAGCTGGGATTGGCTCCAGCCCCCGCAGGATAAGCAGTTGATGATGGATGGAGTTTTGATGTAACTGAAGCCAAACCGTGTAGTCATTTTACAGGTCATTGATGGTAAAGCCAAAATTCTAGTTTGATGAACACTAATCGAACAGTCTGTTCTAACATCTACTAATGCTGTACTCACAAAGAGTGATGCATTTGGTAGAATATTTTACAGGCCTACAGTGGCAGATTGTGTTGTTTAGTAAAAGGGAAACAAATAAACATCCAAAAGTAAGAAGTCCAAATGTTGTTACTACTGAAAAATTCAGAAGGATCAAAAACTGCTCTTTTTGAAATACCCTAGTCTGCATTAAAATGTCCTTTAATGCAGCAAACAGAAAGGCCATCAGTAACTCAGCAGATACACTTACCTTTGACCTGTCTGACAGAGCTGAGGTTCTTCTCAAAGCCATCATCAAACTTGGGATTAGTGACAGGCTCAAAGTCACTTGTGTAAACACGGCCAGAGGAAGTGGTGTAGCAGCATTTGCACATGCATGTGTGGTAGCGCAGTCGACCCTCATCCAGGTAAGGGTGAGCCAGAGCATCCTTCGCTGAAATCCTCTTTGACTTGAGACCAAAAACACAAGTCATATGCAATAAAATGAATTTTACACTCATATTAGCCTCAGCATATATGTAAAGATAAATCAAACAGAAACTTTATTCAGTTACTAAGGAAATAGTATAGTTATAACATATAAAATCTGAATGAGACCAGATGATGTAGCTGATGCAGGTATGAGGAGGGTTGTGTTAGAGGAGGCATATTTTGGAGATAATGATCATGCATGATCATCTAATGCCTTTAAATCAGACTGTGTATAGCCACAGTAATCATGTTTTATTTAACACCAACTTGTAGAGCAAGGGTCTGCGATAAAGGTTATGGAAAGAAAGACTATCTTGAAAAAATGGTAGTCTCCCAAGAACATAATATTCTGATGGACCCTTAACATATTCTGCCCTCTGAATATGAAGTTTTACCTTCAGGGAAACGCTATAGATCTAGCAGATGCAAAAGTAAACCACTATAAGCTGTCCTTCATCCCTACTTCCATAGCTCTCCTTAATAAACACTGTTCAAAACAAGCTGGGCAGAAGCACTTCCGGCACTTTATTTTAAGTATAGGTCACTATTAATCAAGATGGCTTTTATCAGCAATTTTTAACAAGCTTGATGTGAAATGAGTTTTTATATTTTTTAGAATTTGCGGCAGTTGTTTTTTTATTGTTTGTTTTATGGTTCATTACTTTAAGAGCTTAAGTGCAATTGAACAGAATAATTCAGTGGTTTCAATAGAATTTGGGTTCTACTTATCTAGTAATCAATTATTGATAGGTGTTAGCGTCTCAGATACTTGTGCAATGCAATGTAAATGTATGGTATGGACTGTATGATGCATTTGACTGTGAAGTCCATTTATGTTGCATCATGCTGTGTTTATTGCTACAGCCTTGCAGGGCACTGATGCCCAAGATAAATTTGCCTTAAGGGGACAATAAAATTAATTCTGATCTTGAAGTTAGAAAAGCGTGACGCTGAACTTAGTCTGACTATATATATGGCACATTTAACATTTAAGGTAGCAGAGCTGTTGATTAGGAGAGATGATGTTATATGTAACTATAAGTACAAAGACATTTAACATATATAACATATTGGTGCCATCACCTATTGGTAGACTTTGATGATGCCTGGTACAGAGACAACAACTTCCTGTTTCGTAGCGAATCATTGATATTCCACTCTATTCTATGGGGTGGGGTGGGGGACAATCGGACTAATTCTGTGTGTAAATCGCCAAATATGACAATTAAATCTAAAATGGCCAACTTCCTGTTGGTTGACGGCCCACCTGGCATGAATAAAAAAAAGTGGTGCTCTTAAAGGCATTGAAAATGTACTAGAAATTCACATAGTTTGCTTATAGTACATTCATACTTCTAACATGCTTACTTACTACAGGTATATTAAGGATATATTCTCCTGAGCTTTAACATACTTCTCAAAGGCATACTTTGCATAAATTGGTAATAAATATATACCTAATTAAACTTTCAATAAATATGTTTAAATTAAAGCATATTTTTCACATTTTAGTCTATTTATTAAAAATATATTTATTTAACGCTTAGTAAATACTATTTGGGTGTACTTTGTGGAAGTACATTGTTAAACAATTACACTTTTAGTGGGTTAAAAATATATTTATGCCAAATATGCTTCATTGTGTAGGCTACTGCAAAATATTGTAATTGTTTATGTAATTGCCACATTTCAGTCTGATTTCCAGAAGTATGATATTCAAAACATATTTTTTAACATTAAAATATATTGTTCAAAAGCATATTATTTCTTCTTTTTTTCCCCTTTCTTTTCTTTTAATTTTTTTTAATCAGGTAAATAACTAGTTGAGATCAGAGACCTCTTTAATCAGAATCAGAATCAGAATCAGCTTTATTGCCAGGTATGTGTACACATACGAGGAATTTGACTCAGGATTGTACATTGCTCATGGATGCTGTCCAGAGATGGAGCCTGTATTCTGTGTTCTAGTTCTGTGTTCTCATTTACGTTCTGTCTGTTATTATCCCTGTGTTATAGTTGGTCAGTGTTTTCTGTTTACATGGGTTTCTGTTATTGTCTGAAATTAGATTCTTGTCTGGTATTTTGTAACTGTGTTCTGTCTGTGTTGGTTATTTATTTTGCCCCATGTCTGCCTGTCAAGTGTTCTGTCTGTTCCCTCAGTTATCCCTCTGCCTGCCTGCCTCTGTTTCCCCTGCTGTCTCTCTCCCTCGTTACCGTGATCCCAGTCACCTGTGTTGCTCCCGCCCTGCTCGTTACCCCTGGGTATATATGTTTGGTGTTTCTGTTGATTCCCTGTTGGGTCATTGTTTGTGTTACCCCCTGTCTGTTGTGGCTTTGGTTTCCCAGTCTTGTTCAGTGTTTTTGTCTTGCTATTTTCAGCTCATGGTGTTTTGGATTACCTGTTCTGGATTTTTTTTTTTGTTACTCATTTGGATTTTTCTGGACTCAGCCACTCAGTCTGTAAGTGTGCTCGCTTTTTGTTTGTAAACTAAATCACTTTTTGAACTGTACCTCCTCTGCCTTGTATCCTGCGTTTGGGTCCTCCAACCTGCTCAACCCACACCCGCCGTAACATATGTCCATTTGTATGGTCATAGATCCTGTTTCAACTTTTAAAAGTTGAACCTACACTTTGCCAACTTAATGCTAAACCCAGAGCTGGAATTTCCTACCTTAGCTCAAGAAAATTAAATAATAATAAAGATTTGCTATAAGAATAGAATTAGTGTTTATAATGATATGCAAATGAAGAACTAAACTAGGTGGAAGTACTGGCCTAACTGCAACTGCATTTCATTTCTTTTAGAGCATCCTGGGATCGTTGCCTCACTCAGATGGCTTAGAGGCAATGAAAACCTGAAAGGACCAGCTGGACCCTCACAAGCTCAATGTGCTCATAGGTATGTCTGGCTCCTGCACACGGTCACTGTTTTTTGCTCTCACTACATGTCAACGGGGTTAGACTAAATAAACAAATATTCTTGTGTAAAAAATATTATACATGGCGGCGCAGTGGTTAGCACTGTTGCCTCACAGCAAGAAGGTCATGGGTTCAAACCCCTTTCTGTGTGGGGTTTGCGTGTTCTCGCTGTGTGCTTCTTCCCACCATCCAAAAACACGGAGGCTAGGTTGATTGGTGTCTCTAACATTGTCCTTAGGTGTGAGTGGTTGTTAATGTGTGGCCCTGCGTTGGACTGGCAATCTGTCCAGGGTGTACCCCGCATTTCGCCCGATGTCAGCTGGGATTGATTCCAGCCCCCCGCGACCCTGTATGCAGGATAAACGGTTGACGATGGATGGAAATTGTTATACATTAAGTAATTGGCTACTCTTGTACTTCACAAATTGACTGCTGTGTTAATGTGAAATGACATGTAGACAGCTGTTAAGCAAGTTTGAATGTTATTTGTTGTACCTGTTTGATAACATTTTATCATATATAGCTCCTTGGCTGAATGTACAGTAGTGTTTATGTAATGTGTTGTGTTCATGTTGTAATGGAGGAACTGAGCATCCACCCCTTGTGGAAAACCATTTCACCTGAACCTAAACAGTTAGCATTATCAGAACAGTTAGACATGATGTCATATTGTGTTTCCGCAACTTTAAACAAAATAAAAGACAATGGTTGTCAATTAGAGGTAGTATGCTTTGTTATAGATAAAATATTTCCTTTTCCCTTCCACAGATACTATGTGATAAAGCTGTTTCCAAATACCATAGTGTCTGCAGTCGCAGAAAATGCAACGAGTCCTACTCAAAGATAACCGATGGGATGTGTATAGTGTAGTCTTCAGTAATACTGATCACACACCGTCATTTTACTGACAACCCAAAAGCATATTGACTGTCATACTGTATAGGTGTTGCTCCCTTGTTCCATTTTTATCAAATGTGACATAATGGTAGTGTCAACCAAATGGAGGCATCTTTTATAGCTAACTTTATATTTTACATTACCTGCAATTTTCCTTAATCACAGTGTGGAATCAGATGTCCCACCTGGTGCCAGACAGCTTCAGAGACCTGGAAAGCATCCTCAGTGTGCTGGACCTCTGTATCTGATAGCATGGACTGACGTGGAAAGGACTCCTCCCCTTCTGTTTACTTTTACATTTAGTTTTAATGTTGTCCTTATGTGTTATGCACACTTAAGAAATCTATAAATTATGGTTTGCATTGCAATATATTCAATATTTGCACTAATTTTGTCTTTACTGATTCTGTCAGTTCAATGGACAAGTTAATCTTACAACACAGATAAAACATTAATGCTGAACTCTTACGAAGGGTCATCAGTCATGCAGTGTATTTCTGTGTGTGTGTGCAGGAGTATTTTCACTTTCTACCTTATACTAAGATTAATGAGCCTTACACCTAGTGCCAGCACCTGAATAGCTTTGTTTGCTGCTCTGATTTAAGTCTAGTTTAAACACAGAATGGGCACACATCCAAACCAACTCGTGGGTAAATGATGAAACAAATGACTTGCAGAGTAATTATGAACCCAACTAGGTGGTATTAATTGTGACGATGCAAACTAATAATACCTGTGCCCACAACACCTTCTACAGGGCTTAAACTATTCAGTGTGCAGATAATTCTTGTTTCCACAATAGAGTAACTTCTCAGTGCATGTCACACTGGTTTCTAAAAGAAATGTCCAGATAAAACATCAGCTTTTCTTTTTTTTTACTGAAATATGCAAAATGTTAACCTATACCACCGTTATTTCATTTACAGCTGTTAACTATTACATTTTGTTAAATTTAGATCACACTATATTCAATTAACAAACTGATGAATGAAGAATGTGATTTTATTTTAAGCAAATTTAGTCTATCAATTTTATATAACATGATTTCTAATACAAAAGCAAAATTAATTAAAATTATATCTTGCATTCATGGAAACAAATTAAAAGGTTACAAATGTAAAAGTAGTTTTTATGACAAAGTAATGTATTGTAACAGTAAATATGACAGAACCTATGTATAAGAACCCAGTGATAATTTGAAATCAGAGTCCAGGTGTTTAAAGTAAAGCAAAAGGCTGAGCAAAGCAGTTAGCTGCAGCAGCTGGCAGGGCGACATTGGAAGCTGGGACATCTGTAGAGCTGGACTCTGGAATCATCTGGAATGATGCTGCTCATCTGGCTCCTGTAAACACAGCAATGGTAGGTTACTGACAGCCTCTTCCCAACTGCCATAAACCTAGTGAACTCTCAGATTGCCTCAGCATGACAACCTCTCTGGCATATAACAGTAATTATGGCAATGTGCAATACACTGTTTACTGACATGTGCAATTTTAATCTTGCTGCTGGACACAACTTGAACAGTCAAGTTAGCTCTTTTTGTATATTTATTATTTTGCTCTTATATTAAATTTACTGTTGAACTGGAACTACTTGACATACAGTATCTCACAAAAGTGAGTACACCCCTCACATTTTTGTAAATATTTGATTCTATCTGTTCATGTGACAACACTGAAGAAATCACCCTTTGCTACAATGTAAAGTAGTGTGTACAGCTTGTATAACAGTGTAAACTTGCCGTCCCCTCAAAATAGCACATCACTCAGCCATTAATGTCTAAACCACTAGCAACAAAAGTGAGTACATGAAAATGTCTAAATTGGGCCCAAAGTGTCAATATTTTGTGCGGCCACCATTATTTTCCACACTGCCTTAACCCTCTTGGGCATGGAGTTCACCAGAGCTTCACAGGTTGCCACTGGAGTCCTCTTCCACTCCTCCGTGACGACGACATGGAGCTGGTGGATGTTAGAGACCTTGTGCTCCACCTTCCGTTTGAGGATGTCCCACAGATGCTCAATAGGGTTTAGTCTTTTACCCATGGCACACAGCCAAAGCCTTTGGAGCAAAGGACACTGCGCAGCAGACAGAAGATGAGGCGCCAGAACGCAGCCCCCCCATCTGCCTTCCGCCTCTAGCTCCCCTGCCAATGGGAGTGACAGCTACCTCTGGGGACCCCATCACCACCACTACGGGCAATACGGTTATACTGTCTGACTCAGCTCTCAGCTTCTTTAGCAAGGCAGTGGCAGCACTCATGTAGCCCCAGACCATGACAGTCCCACCACCATGCTGGACTGTAAGCAAGACACACTTGTCTTTGTACTCATCACATGGTTGCCGCCACACACGCTTGACCCCATCTGAACCAAACAAGTTTATCTTGGTCGCATCAGACCACAGGACATGGTTCCAGTAATACATGTCCTGTGGTCTGCTTGTCTTCAGCAAACTGTTTGCGGGGTTTCTTGTGCATCATCTTTAGAAGAGGCTTCCTTCTGGGACGACAGCCATGCAGACTAATTTGATGCAGTGTGCGGCATATGGTCTGAGCACTGACAGGCTGACCCCCCCCACCCCTTCAACCTCTGCAGCAATGCTGGCAGCACTCACACATGTATTTCCCAAAGACAACCTCTGGATATGACGCTGAGCACTTACGCTCAACTTCCTTGGTCGACCATGGCGAGGCCTGTTGAGTGGAACCTGTCCTGTTGAACTGCTATATGGTCTTGGCCACTGTCCTGCAGCTCAGTTTCAGCGTCTTGGCAATTTTCTTATAGCCTTGGCTATTTTTATGTAGAGCAGCCATTCTTTTTTTCAGATCCTTGGAGAGTTCTTTGCCATGAGGTGCCATGTTGAACTTCCAGTGACCAGCATGAGGGAGCGTGAGAGCGATACCAACACACCTGCTCCCCATTCACACCTGAGACCTTGTAACACTAACGAGTCACATAACACCGGGGAGGGAAAATATTTACAAAAATGTGAGGGGTGTATTCACTTTTGTGAGATACTGTAGATTTATTAAGAATTATAATGCACCTTAGGTTGTCACAAACGTAATCTGCTACACAATAACAAAAAAGTGCTTGAATCTTGAATGTAAGCAGGGCCTCACAGGTTAAAATTACATGCAGCTGGAGAGTCTAGACAAACTCAGAAGCGGCTGTCATTTTGCGAATTTCTCTCCAGAACAAATATTACTCTACCCAACTCAGGAATATGGCCATAGTTACAGCCCAGCCAAGTTACCTGTCTTGACCAACATGACAACCGCAACCACCGCCGCTTCCCCCTGAACCCTCAACCCCATCCCTCAGTCCAGGTGGAGCCACTGATTCTAGTGACACAGTGACTCTGTTACAGTAACTTCAATGTTCCCTATCCAAATCTAACAATGCCTGTTGGCAAGTTTACCGTTAACATTGCATAACGTCAACTAACTGACGAGGTGGGCCATTAACGTTAAGTTATTACTTACCTTCTAAGAGACGCCTTTTGTTCCAAAGTGTTATCACCCTAAATTCAAGCACTTCTCTAATACATTTTGACTTCTGTGCACGATTCTTTATAAACTCTTGTTATTTTAACATCGTTACCAAAGCTTGAAGCTGGCTAATTAGCTAGTTAGGTAACGTCAGCTAAGCTAACAAGCTAACGTTATGTACCAATACCTGCTAGTTATTGTAACACAAAAATAAAATACTAGTATTTCACTCACCAACCATGGGAGGAGCTCATGAACATCAGGGGAACAACTCCAGCGGATTAAATTCCCACTTTTCTTTCGTCATCAGTGGAATTATTGGACATTTTGATGAAGGGCTTGCTCGCTGTCGTTCACGCTGTGAAGCGCCGCAGGAGAGGGAAAAGAGCCGGTTCGCTTGTGTGTCTTCGCCGGCGGGGACTCCGCACACCGCTACCGGCAATATTTCTCTCCAACGTGCGCTCACTGTGCAACAAACTGGACGAACTTCAGCTTCTGGTGGGGAAAAACAGAGACTTTTATTCATCTTCTGTTCTGTGCTTCACAGAGACCTGGCTGTCTGAACTGATACTGGACTCTGGAGCTGACAGGCTTCCAACCGTACAGTGCGGACCGCGACACAGAACTCTCCGGCAAAACAAAAGGTGGAGGTGTCTGTTTTTATATTAACAATGGCTGGTGTACTGACGTGACAGTGATTCAGCAGCACTGTTCTCCTATAACTATAAACCGTTTTACTCCCCACGTGAGTTTGCTTCATTCACTCTGGTCGGTGTTTACATCTCGCCGCACGCCAACGTTCAGGACGCACAGAGCATGCTGGCCGACCGGATACTGTATGTGGAGCAGACAAACCCGGACTCCCTTGTTATTGTTCTTGGTGACTTTAACAGGGGAAATCTCAGCCAAGGACTACCCAAATACAGACAGTTTATAAAGTGTCTAACCAAAGAGGGGAACACTTTGGATCACTGCTACACCACAGTTAGCAGTCACACGCCGTCAAACGCGCTCCACTGGGACACTCTGACCACATGATGGTCCATCTGATTCCTGCTTACAGGCAAAAACTAAAGCTCTGTAAAACTGTAGTGAGGACATCAAAGAAGTGGACTAGTGAAGCTGTTGAGGACCTCCAGGCATGTTGGGACTGCACTGACTGGGATGTTTTCAAGAATGTTACCAACAATCTGGATGAGTTTACAGAGGACAGCTGCATTCCAACACGGACCAGGGTGAGTTATAACAATGACAAACCCTGGTTTATAGCTAAACTCAGACAGCTAAGGTTGGAAAAGGAGGAGGCATTTAGGAGTGGTGACAGGGCCGGGTGCAGGGCGTTAAAGTACAGGTTTAGCAAGGAAGGTGCGAGAAGCTAAACGACTGTACTCAGAGAGACTAAAAAACCAGACGCCACTTCTGTGAGGCAAACAGAGCCAACAGGTCTGTAGATGATGCAGTAAACATGGCCCTTCACTACATCCTCCAGCACCTGGACTCAGGACCATCAGCACCGGTTCCCCTCAAGGCTGCGTTCTTTCCCCTCTGCTCTTCTCCCTGTACACCAACAGCTGCACCTCCAGTCACCAGTCTGTCAAGCTCCTGAAGTTTGCGGATGACACCACCCTCATTGGGCTCATCTCAGGTGGGGATGAGTCCGCCTACAGGTGGGAGATCGACCATCTGGTGACCTGGTGCAGCCAGAACAGTCTGGAGCTCAATGCTCTGAAGACAGTGGAGATGGTCGTGGACTTCAGAAAGAGCACAGACCCACCCTCCCCAGTCACCACTGTGGACTGCTTCCGCTTCCTGGGCACCATCATCTTCCAGGACCTCAAGTGGGAGCTGAACATCACCTCCCTCACCAAGAAAGTCCAGCAGAGGATGTACTTCCTGTGGCAGCTGAAGAAGTTCAGCCCGCCAAAGACAATGATGGTGCACTTCACCGCCATCATTGAGTCCATCCTCACCTCCTCCATCACCACCTGGTACACTGCTGCCACTGCCAGGGACAAGGGCAGGCTGCAGCATATCATTCGCTCTGCAGAGAAGGTGATTGGCTGCAATCTTCCTAATCTTCTGGACCTGTACGCCTCCAGGACTCTGATGGACTCCAGGACTCTCGTGTCTGGCACATCGCACATATTTGTAGTTGATTGTTGATCTTTGTTGTTGTATATTTTTATGTTGTCAGTTTATATATTTATGTACACAATATTCTCTTCCGTTGCGTTACTTCTGCACGGCACAGACCCAGAATAATGCACATGTATGTATTTGCAACGTTGTTCTTCCATTCCATATTTATATATTTCTACATTTATTTATGTAGACTGTATGTTTGTCTACATGTAGCACCTTACCACCACAGCAAATTTCTCGTATGTGTAAAACATTACTTGGCAATAAAGCTCCTTCTGATTCTGAACTGGAGCACAGGCTTCATGGAGGTTCTCTTTCTCTCTCCAATAAATTGCACAGCCTGCCATTATTCGTCCGGTATCTGCATAAAGAAATGTCCAAAAGGCTCAAACAGGGCAGAGCTGCAGAGCCCCGTGACTGTATTAGCTGAGCTAACAGACGACAGACAGATGGCTAGCAGTGACAACGGTCGCAGCCACCTGTCAATCAAAGCGGCCACGCCCCTAATAATACAGAATTTTAAGGATTAATATAATTTAAACGGGTGGGTTACAAAAAAAATTCATGGCAAAATTAGCTATATCCACTAAGACCATTTTTTGAACCAGGCTGTAAACATGTTATTCTGCTGTAAATTGGGTATTTTAACATGGGGGGGTCAATGGAGATTGACTCCCTTTTGGAGCCAGCCTCAAGTGACCACTGGATGAATTGTAATTTTAGGCATTTCTGGTTGGGCTTCAGTCTGGAAACCAGAAGGTTGCCTCTTGCTCCAAACCAACAACAGTGGGCACTCAATGACCAAAAATTCCTGGCACACCACTGTTTTGCTTGTAAATATATAGTGCTAGTCTACTGTCAAATATATGGAGCTATCAACCATTTTAAAGAAACACTGATATCCATGTAAACATTGATTGCATTTAGAAAGACTAACAATATACAAATCTTAAAACAACCAATGTGAGTCAGTGGGAACATTTTGTTGGCAGAATCAAGTTCAAACACTATACAGCTAAGTAAAGTTGTAAGCTGTGATCAATTAACACAAAGTTAAGCGCTGGTTCAAGGTTCAGCACAATACCAACTGAGTCATTGGAGAACTGTCACAAACTTCACAATTTTATCTTTTGTTGATAGAAAAATCCATTTGCCTTTAAAAAAGCTTTTAAGCTGTGGTTTTGGTATTTTTAGTTAGGAATCGTCTTTAGTTTGTTGGTATCTTTAAGTTCAAACACTATACAGGTGTTTAAAGTTGAAAGCAATTATCTATAAATATCTGTGATATCTGTAATGCTTGATTTCATATTAAAATATTTATGCATTTTAAAATGAATGGGTTCCTATGGGAGTAGAGACTCAGCTTTCTTCCAGCCTACTCAACTTTAAGAGATAAATGCTCCAGCATATGTGCAGCTACAGACTACAGACAAGCCATTTGAGCTTTAAACGTTAAACGTGTATTTGAAGTTTGCTAAAAAAAAAAAAGTTTAGTTTAGGAGATATGTCCTTCCAAAGTGAAGGGTTTTACAGCTTTTTAGAGACTAAATCAGTCTGTCAGGTGATCAGCTAGAGTGTGGAGAGAAGGATTTGGTAGACCAGAATTTTTTTTGTAGACTGCTGCAAGTCACGTAAATTCATCTCCAAAAGTACAAAAAAGTTATCAAAATGTACCACATGCCTTTTCTTCCTCATTGGAGGTTTAGTTTTTTTAGGTTTGAACCTTAATTGATAGGTAACTCACATAAATTTCTGACAGACTGCTCTTTCTCTCACCAAACTCTTCAACTTGCAAAATCCAACTTCTTGTTTTGAGTGTGGATACCTGCTATATATTTTCATGCTTAGCTGCTCAAGCTCTAACTAAAAATACCCAAACGGTGGTTAAGGTCTTGCCTTTCTGATCCAGAGATTTACTGATCAAACCCCGTTCACGGCATGTTAACCAAACTTAACACATTTGCTGAGCCAGTGTGCGGCACATCATTGAGTCTCTTACATGTAGGTGGCGCTACAGGGTTATAAAAATTGCTGATGGAGTAGCACATTGCAGTGAAAGAAGTAGCAATCAACTAATTGCTGGCAGCTCTCACACGCATTTTCCCTAAGGAAAAGCCTATTGTAGTTTTTAATTGTGTTTGTGTTGTAGCGTAAGCTATTTAAGTATAGTTGGACACCTGACGCGGACATCACGATCACCAGCAAATCAGTATTGGTGTAATGTGATAAATGCTTCTGAGGAATATGCAGGGAGGTGCATCCCATAGTAAGACTCTAGTCGGCGGTTTTTAAACGTAATAAAAAGTTCTATTACACTCTGAACATTGGGCAGGCAAAAAGTCTGGCAAGAAAGAGACTCACTGCAAGCTAGCACAAACGTCATGTTAATGTTAATTTGCTGACATCAGACTTTGAGAGCAGACAAGAGGAGGGGAGGAGAGAACACAAATTTACCAGAAAACAGGTAATCAGGCATGATTACCTGTTTTCTTTAGCCTATATTTGTTTACATTTTGTCAAACTGCCTTCATTGAAAGTAGCTGAATTAGCAAGTAGCAGTTCCTATTTTAAGTGTACCCATGGTTATACAACTATCACTGGATTATTTGTGATTACTATGTTGGTGTTTTCAGATTTGACCAAGTTATGACTCTGAGAAGGAGTGTGATTTTTGATTCGAATATATCACATGGTATCTTTGCCTTGCATCTCTTCTTCCGTTGCTGAAATCATGGATATTGGCTTTATAGTAGATTTAGCTCATTCCTTGGATTTAAATGGTTTTGGTCAGTATAAAGTCAACTGGCCACTCCAGTCTGTTTTACTTGCGTCTACAGCACATGTCCATAATTATTCTGCAGTGAATCAGTGAATGGGTTTTATTCATTTACAAAACATAATGCAAAACTATGTATATCAGAATGACTTACCGGATCAAACACCAGCATCCTGCAGAGGAGGTGGACAGCTTCATGGGTTGCTTGGCTAGACAGTGTGTACAGAACCGGAAGGGATGGCTGCAAACAAAACAAACATCACAACATTAACATACTCAACTGTGTCTTTCAGCTTCTAGTATACTTTACATTCAGTACCGTGCAAAAGTGTTTTAGCGCTTTAGATGTTTCATGAAAACATTTGTCTTAGATGGTTATTTTATATCTTTTGTATCAGTTTGTCAACAGGAAATATTACATTTTAGATTCTGTAACATTTTTGCAAATAGTGAAATATTCCAGTAAAATATTTATATGCAGTTAAAGAAAGAAACAAAGTAACAGACCACTTCCAGGAAACTTAAGTCTTTGTCAGCATTTAACCCAGTGCATGATTATAATGTTTAATCACCAAACAGGTGCTACTGACCACCAATTCAATGTTTAGGTTAAAAAACATTCATTAAGTGAAAAAATACAGCTGTGTATTAGGGATGGGAGAAAAAATTTGATTCTTAGATGCATCATGATATGGACGTGAAAGATTCTGAATCGATTAACAAACATAAAAATCGATTATTTAAATGTTAATCGATAACGTAATGTTGACGGAACGCAGAAGGCAGAACTCGCAGAAGTGCAGCGCCCGGACCATCTGTGGCGTGCACATAACTGAGAGACCAGTGTTCCCCCTTATTATATACAGTCTATATGTTCCCCCCGTATTTGGCACACCACCACTGCGAAATGAATAACCAAAATGTCACACAATCATTAATATCAATGCAAGTAATGATTTTAACTCACACTGCGCAAGCATGGTGACACTCAATGCTTAGCGAGCTCTCTTTGTATCCTGTGTGTGAGGCCGAGCAAATGATAGAGAGCAAGCAACAAAAGATGTCGATGAAAGTTAGCGGAGAAAAATATTAGCAGTAAGTTTCAGTCTGGTAATAAACGTGCAGTGTAGGTCACAGTGTGTTAATCTCCAGGAAACAGACACCTATTTCCAGGAAAAATGGCTAAAATAACATGCCCAATATAAATCAGTAATAACTCCTCAACCATTAGGCCTAGATGCATAATTCTCCTCCTTTGACAGGTCAGAAGCTAAGGAATATGGATCAACTGAACCTAAATGAACATATTTTTTTTTTTTTTAAGAGTAAATGGAGATGCAATAAAGGACAATGATATTTTCATCCTCGCCTGGTCTAAAACCTATATTTTAATAGCAATATCACCATCACAACCATTACCCAACTCATTATAATGCAACTGAATATCTTCTAATACACCTAGAATACACCTGTAACTATAAATTTGATGAAAAGAAACTAATATGCAACAGTTATTACAAAATTTTTCAAAAATATACCAGGCGGATGTTCATGTTGTCCATGTTCACTTTTATTGGAAGTTTTCTTCAAAACACTATTTGTCTCCATACAACTACATTCCAAATAACAAAGCTTCTAAAACATTGAAATTTTGAAAAATACAGTGAATATTGATCAACATTCCTGTGACCAAAAGCAATGCCATGCTTTAGAGGCATATAACATGAGAACAGAACATCCTACAGGGTAGCCCGGGCGATCTTTTCACACACAGAAAACAGCTGTTTTGACTGAAAACAGTGAAAATTGCAAAAGTAAGTCAGTGGTTGTAACTATCAATGTATAGTGGTGCATTTGTTGTTATTATTGACCGGCTAATAACTCTGAGTTTAGTGATTTGAGTGATATGAGTTACACAGCCCCCGCAACCCGACTCCGGATAAGCGGATGAAGATGGATGGATGGAGTTACACAGCTGATCAAAGCTGGCGTTGAGCTTTCTTTAGAGTGGTCTGACTGAGGTGTAGGATGAGATGAGAGATCTAGATCTAGAAAGCAATAACTGCAGCCATGTACAGTGTTCACAGAGCGATTTATGTTGTGATATAACTTCATTTAGATGCTTGGTGTTTGATGTGTGTTTGATATGAATGAAAATGGTTGGTTTGACGTTCTGGCTGAGCCTCCTAGCTTAACAGAGGTGTGTGGCATGCATAGGGTGACAAAATACTAGGAAAAATGGCAGCAGGTGCTCTGGAGTGGACTGATGAGTCAACATTTGACTGTAACAGAAGGCAGGTTGATCGCTGAAGGGCTAGAGACAGAAGTTTTATGGAGGAGACACGCCACTCAATCCCATCCTCAATACAACTCTACGGGGAAAGCTTGTAACGTCAAACATGGCGGTTATCCTGCCCCTCCTGCTAGAAAGCCAATCGTCTGCTTCTAACAGCCAAAGTGGGAAACATATTTCAGCCAATCGTGTAGTAGAAGTATAACCGGTCAGGAAAAACGATTTTTAAACCTTATTTTGGGGCAAAGTTATTAAACTTTTCCAGCAATTTTTACCATGGATTTGTGGTCCAGCCGGCAATGGCGATTCTGGGGGGTGGCCTGGGGTCTGATAGGTAGTTGGTCAAGTTCGTTAACAAGTTAACAAGAGAAATGCTGTCAATCAATGATGACAGCTGATCAACTGATTTAGGGCCAGTTTTACATTTTTAACTAACACAGTAATGGTTGTACTGAGGCTGTGAGAGCTGATTTCTGCTCAGCGCTGCGGACATTTGGCCATGCAGGTCAGGTGACCCATGAGATGAGCGCGCTGCACCTGCTGGTCCGTGAAACGGTTACAACAGCAACAACGATAAAAATGCTGGAATCGAATCTGTCGATTGAGAGGTAAGTTATGGTAATTTAATGTTTAGTTATATCGTAGTTTCATCTGAATGTGTAGGAAAACTTTATCTAGCACTAAGTAGCAGCTAAAAGTCGAACTACACTGCACTAGCTAGTTTATCAGCCTGCAAACCAAGTTAAGCATTGATAGTTAGCATTTTGTTTTTTTAATTATTTGGATAACCGCCATGAAATATCAAACGCTATTTTCTGGACTGAAGACTGAGGGTGTTTTTTGCAGGTGTGTGTGTGTGTGTGTGTCAGAACCTCTAGCCTATTGATGTCTCAGATTTCTCAGATATGTGTATTCTCACAGCTGACCAGCTGTCTGGAGCTCCACCTGCTAAGCATGGTATGTCAAGTTCTGTTATGTCCAGATATGTCATTCATGAACAGTTACCTGAAGTTGTCGTGTACGCTCATACTTTATTTAATTTGGACGGTCCAATTTTGCCTAAAGTGTATGCTATTCATTTGCTAGTACACAGCAAACCCCACACTTAAACATAGAGAATCAATTCTTTAAATTTCAACACAAAACATTATGAAAAGACAAAGGAAAATGTGTGACACTAATCTGTCCACATGCAGTTTATGGGTGTAATGGTTATTGTTTTTACTACTTCAGGTACTTCATCTAGTGAGCAAAGTGATTCAGAGGACATGTCAGTAGGTGATGGTGACACCGATGACAGAGAGGCTCCCCATGTTGCACAAGTACATGCTGCCTCACCTGGACCACACGGCATGTTGTGACATTTTATCTTTCAGTTTACATGACATTAGGAGTGCCTTCCATTTTAATAACATGGAAGTTGTAATACTGACCACAAATTCACTTTGTAACTAATAATTTTGAATGAAACTTCATAAAAACTGAAGTAAGGACTGATCACGATTATTTATAATTTACAGACGTTTCACAGTCCAGAGCAGCAGGTCCTACACAGCCTCAACTTAAGGTATTTCCACAAACCATGCAAGGCAACAGGAAAAGGTCCTTCAACAGCGAGTGGTATAAACAACACCCATGGCTTGAGTACTCCCAAAGATTTTTCGCACACTTTCTACCACACTGTTAGTAATGAGGAGAGGAAAAGTCCGCTAGGCTAATTTATGCTCCGTACAATGCCATAGGCTAAGCTAATAATCTTTATAGTTATTATTAAGCTGAATTTTATGCTTATGTTAAATGTGATTGTTATTAAGCCATGTTTTATGTGTGGTGGTGGAGTCAATTTAAAGTTAGCTGCACTTAACCATTAACAATTATTTGATGTGCTGTTTTTTTTCCTTTTATTGCCAGAAACCGAAGAAGAAAGAGGAGATGGCATGATGTGGTCACCACTGGCATCTTGTCAGAGGAGGGTAAAGAGAAGAAGAAGAAGTAGAAAAGCAACACAGAAAATAAACCAAAAACAATACAATACCTTTTATATTTCCCCTTACATGCCTTGTTGTTTATGTGTAAATATTGGCTTTATTCTGGATTTGTTGTTCCTAATAAAAGGTTTGTCACAGGTAAATCAGATGATTGTGAGAGTCATTCTTTTTTTCCATTAGTTGCCTTTACATCCAAAGGTCTAAAGATCTTGTAAGTGTTGTTGCATAAATACTTGTGTTTTCATGATGCACAGTTCATAATTGCTGTTATAATTTCATGTAACAAATATAACTTAATTTGGTGTAAAGATAAAATGTAATACATGTTTAAGAACTAAAGGGTAGAATAAGCTGCTAAATGATATGTGGTTAACAGTGTATCTATCTCATTCTGTATATTTACGTTTGTCCCGGAACTAATGTTTTCTGTCTGAGCAGATAGCTCCGATGCTTGTTAAACTGCATTAAAGTTAAAAATGTGGTTTGAAGTTAATGCAGACGACCAAATGGACATTCAAGAGACTTCAAAGAACTTAGTAACCTCTTTTCACGACAAGCGGCCAACGAGGTATTATTATATTGTCTTTATTGATCTGGATGTTGTTTGTATTTTCTCTGCTAAGCTATAATGTATTGATTTATTTGTACTGTGTTCACTTACAATGTAGTTCTCACGGCGTATAAGGCATATACGACGTTCAAGGCGTACATGGTGTGAAGCTGGATGTACCAAAGAGACCCGATGTGCCCACAGCAATAAACGCCCGTTGCAAAGAACTGACCTGTGTCTGTGTTGTCGCGAAGAGAGCTACAGTGAGAACTCGACCTGCTCGGCGCGGGTATGAGAGAAGACGAGATTACGGCGGGTAACGACGTGATGAAGATCCAGCATGTAAGATAAGCAAAGCCCAGGACACACTGTCGACATAGCTACCACAAGCAAATGTTATAAGACTTTGT